CATTAATAATTGAGGTCTGAAATTCATTTAAAATGTGAATTATTAACTGGAAATCAGCTTTTAAAAAGATACAAGTTTTTCCAGGAAACTCAACCCAATCACGAAGCTTTTGTCTTTCGATTAACAATAAACTAAAGCAACTATAAATGTTTATTGTTAAGAATGTATATAAAACATAGTTTAATTTTGGCTTTCTAAATCATATTTATCACTCAACAAGTGTCAGTTTTAACAACACTTTTCTGGACATACATAAACTCTTAACAATTTCCATAAAAAATCATTTACAACTGCAATTCTAAACTTCTTCTATAATTCTCTCTCGCAGTCATCTTCAAGTGCCATCTCCTCAAAATGTAGACGAGTATCCAAAAGATACATATATTTCAAGCACTATATAGTACCGAGTACTGAGTACTAAATACTATTACTTTCTTCTCATTCCCCTTGGAGTTTTCCAATTCCCCTGCTCAACATTTCTCATTAAATATATCAAGTAACAACCGCACAATAAACGTCACAAGTGAAAAAACCCACGGGACCGGGAAATTGTCGGAGGAATTTCCATGTGAGAAACGGAGCCACATAATTTATGGCCCTCACGGTGAAAGTTGATATAAATCTCAGGAGTAACTTAAAAATGAAAACGAAAAAAGGAAAGCAGAGAATGAAACAAGAAGTTTAAATTGTAGTCTGACATGTGGAAAAGTGCAGGTGTAAACTGCGGGGGAGAAATTCAGGAAAAAAAATCAGGAGGGGATATCCTCAAGGAAACAGGAACTCTCAACGATGATGATGATGATGATGTGTTTAGGGGAATGGGAACCATAAAAATTATCTACAGACAGTTGGGTTTCCTTTTTTTCTTAGAGTTTCTCAAGTGGAAATGTAACAGAGTTCAATTGTTGAGTGGAATAATTATTTTTGCTACTAATTACAATTATTTAAATATATATTTTCAAGGAGAAATATGTATAAATTTACTATAATTACAAGAAATATTTATGAAAGTGGAAATGAAAAGATAACTCATAATTTTTCCTACTAAATACCATAATAATTTTGTTTAATTTAATTATAATCCCATTCCATATTTATTCCTCAACAATAAATCTTTACTTTTCAAATAGAAAACACTCCCATTTATAGGCATTATTTATTATTCCAACTAATTGTAAACATTTCTACATATTTTATTTAAAACTCCATTTACAATAATTTGTGACTTTTGCATTGAGAAAGTTTTTTAATTTGTTCGCTTTAATTGCATATAATTTTTAAACTTTTAACAGCAACACATACCCTTTAACCCTTGACCTTACAGTGTCCGCAATAATACTCGTACATACATAAAAATACATTAAAAAATGGGGGGAAAAAACCAATACGAAAAAAAGGGTTGAGACCAGAAAAGGGGCGTAAAATAAATTGCTATTAATTTTTCACTCGCTTCGTTCGTCAAGCGACGGCGGCGCCGAAAAGACGAAACCAGGCAGGACTCACACAGGACTCGTCCAGGACTCTACACCTAAAGTGCATATAATTTTTCAATTTGAATTGTCTGCTCCTCTGGCTCCCTGCCTTCCCCTTTATTTTTGTGGCCGGGCAAAAGGTGGCCAACGGAAGCGTTGACCAAACCCGCCAAATGAGTTGTGGCCAAAAAGTTGCAGCCATGTGTGTGTGTGTGTGTGATGTGTGTGTTTTTGTGCAGTTAAGCAAATATTTAATTGCTGCACTTTTTTCTCTGCTGAAAGTTGTGCCAGGACCTCTGCTTTTCCCTTTTTTTTTTGCTCCATAATTTATGGCCTGCCATTTGGACTCGTTCCCCTTTTGGTTAATGATGTTGACCTTAACAACAAATGTTAAATGTTGCATCAACATTGTTGGCCACCAATACGGATTGATATTCTTTCCCTGCTTCCCCCGCTGTCAACGCCTGCGGCCTTGTTTGTTGGCCATTTTAATGCCTTTTCAATAAAAATGGCAGAAATCGCATTTTGGTTGCCTACTTTTGTGAGTCCTGGCAGCCTGATTTTCCATAATGAGCATTCGCGGCGTTCGGCTTGGCATTATTGTTATTTCTGGCAGCTTTTTTTGTTTGCCGCATAATTAATTGTTTTCACACATAATAATTTAATACGGAGCCGAAACACGTGTAAAAGCGAATGGCCAACAATATTAAATAAATGCAATGTGCCACATCAATTATAATTGGTTTGTTTCGGAGTTCGGATGGGAATGCAGTTTGCATTTTGCAGTTTGCAGTTTGCAGTTTGCATTCTCTGCCCATGTGTCAATTGTGGCTGTTGTTGCCAGTTTTTGGGCCCATTTCGCATGTGTTTAAATGTTTAAATGTCATTAACAAAGCCGTAAATTATATGCAACCGAAAGTGGCGATTTTCCCAAAAGTGAGCTGAAGGGAAGGGAGATGTGATGTGAAGTTTGCAACTCATAAACCTGCTGCGCTTGGCCAACTTTATTAGCTTTTTTGCGAGAGACTGGCAATCATTGCAGCTTAGGTAAATATTAATAACGATGGACAGCGGCAAAAAGAGTTCAGAAAAAAGTAAAAACAAAAAGGAGCATGTAAAGGAGCAGAAAGAGTACAGTGGAATATAATCAGGGAAAAGTGAAGATAAATTGGAAGTTAAGGAGATTGAAGAACTAAGCTTTTTTGTTAAAGAAGAGTTCATGTATAATATTATGTTTAACTAAACCCAAAATACCTAGAAATTTCTTTCTAGGCACATAGGAAAGAAACTAATTTTTGACAACTTTTTTTCATTAAAAATATAAGGTGATAAAATTATAAAAAATTTACAAAATTTCAAATGTTAAATTTAGTATGTAACCTTGTAAAGACCAACTCAGAACTCAGAACTAACTCTTTTCCGAATTAAAACAAAATCGTTTTTGGCTAAGTTATGATACTTCAAAAATTTATAATTTCGCAATAAATGGCCAATTTATTTTCTTGCTAGAATTATCGATAAATTTGTCATATAAAAATGTCGACAAATATTGATTCAAAGAAAGCGAATCGATTTCCGATTTGATCCTATAAATATTATTGCAAACAAGAAGTATAACAACTTCAGGTTCCTTTCTTGTTATAATTTTTATAAACATTCTATATTTTTTTTTATATTTTCTATATCTTCTCTATGATTGTAAATAATACTTTATATATTTCTATTGCATCCACTGTATCACGAAAAAATCTCAAATCTCATCTCATTTTGTTTTTCGGGTTTCGTTGGGGATGGTGTCAAACTTTTTCATTTCACTTGCTGTCTCTCATAATATGGAAAAGGTAAAAAGATGAGCTCTCCAACTCTCCTTTCGTTTTCCTTTCCCCCCAAAAAAACAGCCTCTCCCCCCGAAAAAAACAACAACAAACTAGCCATATGAATTTATGACCAACGAAAGATTTGAGGGGGAAAAGTTATATGAGTATGGGAAAGGGAATGGATGTGTGTGTGTGTATTTTAGTACATAGAAGAGGGGGGAAAATGCAACAAAATTATAATTTATGTGGCTTTAATAGCCGCTGGGTAGAGCTCCAAGGTGAACCAGAACCAAAGACCACTCTTTTTTCCGAAATCTTTCTACCCATTTCTCCCTTCGAATTTTCTCTTATCATGGTGGCAGGCCTGAGTTTTCTTGAGGAAAACCCCCAGAAAAGATGGCGACGAAGGACAAGAGAAAAACAAGTGTGGGAGTAGGGGTGTGTGTTGTGTGTGTTTGTAGGTGTTATCAGGTCGAGTTGCCGCCTGCCTGTGGCAACATTTATTTTAATGCCTTATCACAAGGCCTTAGAAAAAAAGAACACAAAACAAGTGCACAATTGGGAGTTATGACAGTCTGCCTTCATATTTTTCTATATAAAAAAATATATGATGTATGTATATATATATCTTACATACACTTTTTTTATGCCCCATTTTCTGATAACACCCCCAATTGTTTTTTTCCCTTGCCGTCATTGCGGAATTTACGTTTTTACTAGTTCTCTCCTTAGTGTTTCGGTAAACGCCTACGTTTTATTTTTATGCCGTTCTTATCATAGTTTATTATTGTTGTTGTTGTTGTTGTTGTTCCTGCCTGTCGAACGATAAAAAAAACATATAATATAAAAACCACAGGAAAAACCTCTCGTCGATCTTTAATTCCCTCGAATGCAGGCGATAATATAAAACTTGTTTCTTAAAGGTTTCTTCAACTCTCGGACAGGAAATATGCATAAGGTTTTTTGCTGAAATCAAGAGACTTGAATCGGTTGGGAATGGGAATGGAGATGAGGATGGGGATTGGGATTGGATGCTGGGTTGTACTTGTTATCGCTGAGAGCCTGCTCACTTCCCTTTAACCGCAAAACAAAGCCCACGCATTGTGCTCAACTCAACGTGATGTGTGTTCAAAGATCATATAGAATATATGTATATGCCCCTCACTTTTTTCCCCCTTTTCATAATGTATTTATGTATAAGATTATGGATGAGTAACAGATCCACGAACTTTAACACGTAAGAGTCTGTGGAATAAGAATTCAGTGGCTTATCAGCTTCCAGGAATTGCTATCCTCTGAGAGCATCATTTTAAAGATTTAGTCATTGCCACTGACGGGGGATTTATTTTTTAGTGGCTTTTGAAATATTTCTTACAAGATTTAATTGAAATTGAGAAATGGTATTCAACAGAAAGTATTCACTAAAATTCGAATTGAGTTGAAGCTATAGTTAAGCCTAAATAATTCCAAATTTAAGTTTAGAAATCTTCAAAATGATGTTTTTCTTTCTACAAACTTTAAGTTTTCGATTTTTCAAGCATTACTAATGCTTATCATGCTTAAAGGTTACTTATTCATTTATGCAATCATTTCATTTCAAAGTAAACAAATTGCTTTCTGGGAAGTTTTTTTAAGTGAATTATTTATATAGCTATTTGAATTATATTTATGGTATATCGAAATATATTTAAATAAGATTTAATAAACTCACCTGAGAGACATTCTGTGCCGCTGGCTGGCCACTGGGCGAGTGCAACAGCTGATGTTGCTCGAGTTGCTCCCGTGTGGCAAAGGCAGCTGTGCATTGCATGCAGGGATAGGCACCGCCCAGCTCTCGATCTCCGGTGGTGGAGCCCGGACTGGAAGTGGATCGTGGAGCACTCAAATCCAAATCGTAGGCGGAATTGCTGCCCACACTGCTATTGCTACCAGGAAGCTGAGGTGGCAGCAGTTGCTGCAAGGCCAAATGCTGCTGCTGCTGCTGCTGATGTTGCTGCTGTTGCTGCTGGTGATGTTGCAGCTGCTGCTGCTGCTGCTGCTGGTGTTGCTGTGGCGAACTGGAGCTAGCGGTTCGGGCGGATTGCATGGCCAAAGCGGCGGCCATAAACTGTGCTTGCAACTGCAACTGTGGCGTACTTTGGGGCAGGTGAGCAAACAAGTCACTCGGTGGCATGGAGCCAGGTGAGCACATGGGTGACATTTTTGGCGTTGTGTTGCTGTTGTGGTTTTTGGTCAGCTCACTGTTGTTGTTATTATTATTACTGGAGTTGTTGTTGCTAGTGGAATTGGCACTAATGTTGGTATTGTGTCCAGTGGCAACCTGCCCAGGTGACTTGATGTACCGCCGACTGCTGCTGCCACTTAGATTGCTCTGCTCATCCTCAGCATCGCTCTCGGGCTGAGCAGCTCCACAGTTTAGCTTGTCGTGGGGATGCTCGCTGGCAATGTGCTCACTGAGGCTCTGTTGTTTTGAAAAATATAAACGGGGTTTAAAGGAAAATTTATTATAGAAAATCAACTAGATTTTGTGATTGTTTTAGTGTTATTTTTTGTAGATTTTCAAGTGTAATTAACTCACCTGAAACCCTATGAATCGCTTGTGGCATTGGGTGCAATTGACCATAAAGGCATCTGCTGCCTGTCCTGGCTGTGCAATCTGGGCATCCTGGACCACATTGCCTGGATTGCTATGCTTCGGCGACTGGTTGTGATGAAGCAGACTGGAGGCCAGCGAGGGGACTGTGGGGAGATGGAAAACAAATTAACTGCCAGATCGTTTAAGAACCATAAAAACAAAAATATGAGCAAAGCAACTTGAAAACCAAATGAGAAATGCCAAGTGTGAGTTGCGGCGGGGAAGAAAAAAAGAGAAGGGTTTGAGGTACTAAAGAATGAAGAGAAAGAAATTTTGGACTTAGTTTGAAATTAAATCAATTTCAGAGAGGTTAAAAAATGTCTATTTTGCTTTCAACAATCTAACTGATCTCAACAATTTTGTAAATTATAGTTTCTCTAATAGTATAGTATCTATAGTGTAGTATCTATAGTGTAGTATCTATAGAATAGTCTCTATAATATGGTATTTATAGTATAGTCTCTATAATATAGTATCTATTGTATAGTATCTATAGTACTATAGTTACTATAAAAGTATAGTATTTATTACCCTATTATGATAAAAATGTTTTAAAAAGGTGTTCCTTACTCTAAAGGTAGATACAGTTTATTATAACTCTTTTTTTAACGATTTTTAATATAAGAATCTTTAAAACTGCCTATTAATGATGTGAAATTTCGGTTTAATATATATTAAGGCTTCAAAAACATAGTGATCTTAATTATTTTTCTTCGAGTGCCTTCAAGGGCTGCGTTGGATCGACTTAATTTCGTGGCAAATCAACTTTTGCGGGCCTTCACGCAAGGCTGGAAATCCATGGAGGCGATGATCTCATGGTTACCCCAAACCACCAAAGAAACCGAAGAGGAGAAGAAGCAAAATAAAGAAGTGGAGAAGGAATTTTTCGAAAAAGAACGCAGAAGCAAGAAAGTAAAAAAAAGAAGAAATAAGAAACAAAAACAAGAAACAAGAAGAGTTGACTTAATCAGTTGAAAAAAAGCGTTCAAGCATGGCAGCGCAGAAGGAGAGAGAGAGAGTCTCAGAAGAAGATTGCTTTGTTCAGTTCCCGAGGGTCACTCAATTGCCCTCTCTTTCTTGTATCTGTATCTGAGTATCTGTGTATCTGAGTAACTATGTATCTGTGTATCTGTCAGATCTACCTCAGAGTTACTCCCAGCAAAATGGAGTTTCTGTTCAGCCTTTTCTTGGTCTTCTTTTTACTCGAGTTTCTTGATGGTCCACACAAAGCGAGTCTTTGTTCTGATCACTACCTTAATTTAAGCCAATTAACCGAGGCTATATCATCATGATCATCATGATCGAAACAGACGCTCTCTTATACGGGTTTTGTGGAATGAATGAACCCTGCTACCTTTCAGCGGTAACTGTATTTGTATCTGTATCTGTATCTGAGGGCTGTCGCTGTTTCAATCAAGCGCAATCTACAATAAGTTCATTGCACGTTTTCACTTTCGATAGTTGCAATCTGTCTTAATTGATTCTGATGCGGGCCTATCAAAAAGGGAATTCTATAGGAAATATATATATTTAAAATAAATTTATATATAGGTACTGTGACACTTAAGAAGCCATTAAAAGCCATTATAGGACAACAGCTGACACGCGGCACAATCTCTTCACTCTCGATCGAGTTTATAATTTTTATTTTCAAGAATTTATTTCACTCGCCCTGCCTAATGACATTTTTATTAAAAGTTGTAAAACTACAACACTTTTTTATAGCCCTACACAAACACACACACACACACACTCCTCTCGCACACTGAAACATTATGTTTCATCAGCATAATATGCTTGAAAGGAAAATGCTCCAAGGGGGAGTGGAGGGGATGGAGAGAAAAAACAACGTGAAATTCAACAAGTGTGTCACCAGCTCATTTAGCTCAATCAATTTTTCATAACCGAGCCGAGACACAAAGCGTGAGGAATTATTATTAACGCAATATCGGACAGAGAATTTCCCATTTTTACACTTTTTTCTGTATATATATTTCTCCCCTGAAATATTGAAAGTGTCCCGCAAATTAATTTCAATTTATGCTTCAAGACCGAAAAAACTGAAATGAAAAGGAATTTTTCGTGTATTTGTTTCTACGGAACTTGAGCGTTATTTGTTAAATATATATTTATTTTGTCACTGTTTGGTCTCCGCTTTCAGTGGCAATGTCTTTCAACTATTTTGCGCTGAACGCGAACCAATTGAAGTTGATTGATAGTGTGTGTTAGGTGGGGGCTCCCAGGGGGAAGTAGAAATCGGAAATAAAAAATTGGAGGTATTATTTTTAATTTTAAAAGTTTTTTGGGGAAAAAGAATTAAGTTTTTAGAAGTGAAAATACAGAAGAAAGCTGCATTGAAGATACTTCGGAAGTAGGAAACAAGTAAAATAATAAAAATTGAAATTGAATTGAAATAATTATCATTAAACTGAATTAAATATACGAACTCATTTAAATATTAAAAGTATTTTTATAGAAATAAATCCCAATTTAATACAATTTAAATGATATAAAATATTAAAATTATTAAATGTAAAGGTTTAAAGACCTTAAAATAATAAACAGAAATTGTTAACTATAATATATTAATTTTTCAGAAATGAACTTTGAAAATCCAGGTCATAGTTAATATATCTCATAACCAGAGCTCAAGAAATATTATCTTAAACATTATTTTTTTTACCTAACTGATCTCTAAGAAGATATATATCTTAATTCAAACCTCATCAAAAACAGAATCCATATTCTATTAATCTTTCATTGTCTGACTAAACCCTAAGAATAAATTTTACTTAATCAAAGCTGATTAAACACAATATCTTTCTTATTTATTAAAACTTTCAATAACTTTCACTAGGATTACGTAAAGTTTTAAGTAAAGATATTTCCCCCATAAATAATAATTAAATTGTTGTATTTAAACCAAATAAAAACAACATATATAATATATATCCTGCTTTGACAGTTGCCAAAATGTTGATTAGAGCTATATATTTTGTTTTGTTTAAAAATTTCTATACTTTTTTACTAAGAAAAGAGGGCCAATATTTATGGGTGGCGGCACGTTTGCCAAAAAAACAAAAGCTGCCCAGTAAATCGCCAATCAAAATGCCAAAAAGGAAATCTTCTGGAACGATGTCAAGTGTTTTCTTTTTGTTGTTGTTGTCGGTTCACCTGTGCGGCGTGGAAAACACGCGCACACAAAAAAAGAAAATCTAGGGGAAAAACTAGGTGGAAGGGGAACGGATGTGGGAATCGAGAATATTATAAATAATACGTAGATGGGGCAGGCGGGCGTAAATCAATGGCAAAATAACCAAGCAAAAGATACGTTTGTATCTGTATCTGTTAGATTCTAGCTGAATATCGTATCTTTCTTTGCGGCACCCACTAATTTTATGTGCTTTTTTTATTGCCAACTTTTATTAGCCAGACATATTTCGACTAAGCCCGGCTAATGCAAATTTATTTATTTCTCTTTGCTGTTCGCCTTGGTTTTTGGTATGTTTGCGTGTGTTTTGAAAATTATTTTGAGCATTTAATTTATGTTTAGCAGCGCCTATCTTTTTTTTTGTTTCATTTTTATTTTATATTTTTCCACCTGACTTTTCTCACTGTCACTCGTTGGCCCAAAGTGTTTTTTAATATTTCACTGACAGCCGATTGTCACAACGTGTGCGTGGGGACGTCTATATTTTCTTGATTTTCTTTATATTTATTTTTTTTCTCGGGCTTGGGAAACCCAAGTCGATGACAGTTTTTTTAGCTAGACAGGTGAGAGAGTGGGGGAATTTCTTGCTGACGCAGTTTGCAGACAAATCGACGACAGGTGGGCGCCTATGCGAGGAGGGGGAGATTAATGCAAATAAACATACATTTTTAACACTTAATTATAAACAGACTCACTGCACTCATTTGCACTTAATGATTGCGTTTAGCATATTTATGAAATAAATATTCTGCAAATGAGCGAGTACACTTAGTACAGAAAAGCTAGCTAATTATGTCTGTGAAAAATGACACTATCAGACATTGCAGCAATTAATTTGGTGTAAATGAAAACCTGTGGGAAGGTTTCCCATTTTTTTTTTATTATGTGTATTGAATATCCCACCAAAAGTCGGGTTTCAAACGTGCGAAAGTTTATAATAGAAAGAAATGAAAAACTGGACGCACGGTAAGGAAAATTCTTGCCGCGGAGGGTCTAGAGTTTCGATCCGTGTCCAATCTCAAGTGCCCAGTAAAAATCGAACCCGAGAGGTATTTATATATATATACACATGTGAGTGGCATATGGAGTTGTCCTTCGATAATCGCTCTAAATTTGGAATACTCTTTCGGGGACTTAATACCTACCTACCTACAGATTGATGCACAGAGAGAAAATGAAAGGGAATTATATAAGTGGGTTTAAATATTAAGTAGGGAATTTGTTTAATATTCAAATGTTTTAGTAATATGCAAAGATATTTTAGAGAGCAAAAGAAAGGAGGGTTTATATTTAAAAAATATGCAAAGACCGAAGAGAGAAAACAGAGTTCTTTTACAACTTTTGTAGTAATTTCTTGAACCAGTTTCTTCTTCCTAAATTTAATACATTTTTCTATATATATTCTTAAAAATCTTTCTATAAAAGCCCCTTAAAGTCTGTACAATTTTCTCCCTGTGTCACACCTTTGCCCTGGTCTACTCTCCACTTTTATATATATTTTTTTTCCACAAATGGGCACAAAGGTGGCCCTGGCTTGCCCCTCAAGTGGCGGGATGCAAAAGGTGCAGATTCGTAGCCAGACGATGGAGTTGCTATAAATAGAGATTTCATTTCGAGCGGGGAGATGCATTTCAGCCGTTTTGCTGCCCTTTTGCGTTTATTTGTTTGTTCAGCAAGCTGATGCTGCGTTGCTGCTTTCCTGCATGCTGCACGTTGCACGTTGCAGCAGCGTTGCAGCAGCGTTGCACGTTGCACGTTTATTTTATTTGTAGCATTTTGCTTTGCTGAGTGTGAAATTTTAATAGCCAAGCGAGCCGTGTCCCTTCTCTCCATCTATATATATAAACTGAGGCATCTTTTGAGGCAGGGCAGGGCAGGGTTAGGGAACAAAAAAAAAAAGAAAACATATGTGTCCCGGGGGCGCAAAACTATTTCTGCGATTTACCTTGAAAAAATATCAGCAGAAAAATATGTGTGTGTGTGGGCGTTTTCTGGTTTTTGAAATTGGAGTTGTGCCTGGGCAAAAGCAATTAGAGAAATATGCCCAGAAAAGAGGTGTTTTCGAAGAGAAAGGGAAAGGATGGTGGAAATGCTTGCTTGGAACTCCAAAAGATACTAGAGATCCATAAGATACTTTTTCAAAAGACAAGCAATTAGGGAAATATGTCAGGAAGAAAGGAGGTGTTCAAAGTAAAGGAAATATATTAGGCTCTTGCTTATAAGATAGTTTTTTTTTACATATATTTATTTATATACTATTTTTAAAGTTAGTTTTAGATATCTTCTACTTCTCAAAACGTTAGTTTCTATTACGATTTTTAGAAATCAATCAACAAATCATAAAACCAAACTTACAAACAATCTCAAAACATATTTTTCTTAAACTTCTAATAAAGATAAAGATAGTTCAAAGACTAAACTTTAATGTTAGTATCGATTTTTGGAAAGCAATCAATAAATATTAATAACAAGCTTACAAAAAACTTTAAATCATATTTTTTTGAACTCCAAATAAAGTAAAATATACATTTCCAGGAACCATAAAAATATATAGTATTTTGCTCAATATGCACTTTAGGAATCAAGTCAATAAATAATATGACACTTTTTCTTTTCAAGTATTTATTTTAACGACTGTTTTCTCAGAACTAAATAAAAACTTTAAAAAGATTGTAAAAAATAAGTACTATATTTATGATTTTGTCATAAAAATATACCACTTTAAGTGATAAATATAAAAAACTCCACAGAAAAGAAAACAATAAGTTTTTGTTTATATAAACTTCAAAAACAAAATGAAACTTTTCAAGAAGATATAAATATAAATCAATTTAAAACTTTGGCTCTTCTTTAAACTGTGAAATATATGTGTAACCAAAGTTCAGTTAAACTTGGCTAATTGATATTCACTTGGTTCTCAGAGTGAGTTTATATATTTTTCCAACCAATCCCTGCAAAATAAAGGACTCAAAAACGAGGCTCGAAACAAAAGCGCCGAGCATCGAATGCAATTGAAACTTTTTCCTGCTGTGCCGTGCAGCAGCCACAATAGAGCCGTTGACTATTTTTGTTTATTTAAAAAACTTTTTAACAATTATTGTGCAATTGTGCGAAATTTATTGCAATTGAACGCCAATCAGAGTGGGAGATAGCCACTCCCCCAACAGCCTTTTTCCAGCGTTAACCAAAATCGTTTACATGTTAAATTGTGCCTGGCAAGGACTTTTTTGGGGGGATGCCTCCACTTTTGGCGCTGCAATTTTGCCAGGCCCTTTGGCAACACCTTTTTTTTTGTTGTGTTTATTCCGGGGAAAGGGGGTTAGGGGGATGGTGCTGCACCCTTTTGTTTGTGCCGATTTTTTGGCACTTTTTTATGCAGGTTCCAAGGGGGTAGGTACCAAGGCAGCAGCAAAAGCAACACAGAAATTGTGCGGCTGGGCATTAAATAAATAAGAAAAAATATTCACACAGGCAGCAACATTCCGTGCAATTTTCACTTTACAACTGTTTCAAAGTTATCTTTGTTTCAATTGTGTGCACAGTACAGTACAGTATCAAAAAAGAGGGCAGCAAAAAATATTGGCAAACAATTTACTTTTGAGCAGCAACAGCAGCAGCAGCCACCAAAAATAAACGTAAAAAATGTGGCAAATAATTTGCCCAAAGCTGCGGCAGGTTGTACAGAGAGAAGCAGGATATCAAAGAGGACTTTTCCCTCATTGATTTATTGTCCTTTTTTTGCTCTCAATTTAAAGCTGAATTCAAACAGGGAAATGTGTGTTTATTTTTTGGGGGAAAAACAAAGTCCAACTCCACTTGAGCTTAGGCAGAAATTAATCATCTTTTGCCCAGATAGTTTTGGGGGCCAAGTTTGTTTAATTTCGATTACCCAAAAAGGAGCAGAGAGAGTCCTGTCACTGATGAAGCCTGCAGGATGGGCTAAAGTTATAAATGAGGCTTGAGACAAGGACCAGCATATAAAACTGACAGCCAACGACAGCAAACCTAGAATGATTAATTAGTAAAGTTACCAAAAGGGAGTTTCTCTATATAGTATATATCGAAATAAAATCAAATCGAAGAATCCTATCAAGGTTCAAGACACAAAAGTCAGAGAAACAACAACAACAACTTTGATGGTTGAAAATTAGCACTGATTTAGGGGCAACGAGTCTATATAGTATTGATATATAGTATTGATAATTATAGCTGCCAAAGGGGGCGTTACCTCAGATGTTGTCTAGGTGATAACAGGCGACAGGTTTTTTTTTTTTGCCTTGGCAAAAATTATACATTTGATTTACGGCAGTTTTTGGAGCCATTACGAAATGCGACACAACACACGCCGAAAATTAGTACAAGCATTTCCAAAAAACCGAAAATCTCTCCTCTCTCTTTTTCGAACAGAATTTCGTATGTTGCCAGCGATTAATATCCATCGCCAAAGCAGCTGCCCAGCGCCATCAAAAGTTGGCCAGGAATACAAAATAAAAACAAAAAGCTGAAAAAAAAGAAAGATCAGAGATATATGTACATATATCTGTTGAGGCGCATCTATATAATATATAGAGTATGTGGGCCAACCTGTGTGTTTCTGATCGATTAGCCAAACTATCTGTTCGTGTTCCGAGGGCTTTTAGTTCCACCCACAGAAACAGAGCTGCTTAAATAGCCATAAATTATAATTTATGGGCGCTACAATGCGGTGTATCTGTAGATCTTCGTCCTATTCTTTTTTTTTTTCTCTGAGGAGAACATGTGCAATTAATCCGTCTCTTTAGCGGACTTATCAATTGTCAGTTGCTGGTTCGTGGGCGTTTTGTGAAGATTTGGACCAACAGATTCTCCAGCATTTGGACTAGATTTCTTCCCTTTTCTCATGATTTTCCTGCCTTTTCTTTCCTCATGCTTTTCCCTTTTCCTAATTCATTTCCTAAGCGCTTTCAATTAATTTTTTGTTGCCTCTAAATGCAAGGTGTGAGCTTTTGATCAGCTCTATCCACTGACAGTTTTATGATTATGCCTTGTTTACACTCACTCAAAGACGCAGACATTATTGGCCATTAGAAACAGGTTTCTTGTGAGAGGTTCTGTGCAGTTCTTTGAGTTTGTACCTGCGCATGCGATTGAACCTGCTTTTAGGGGTAGCTACCTGTCGTTTGGTTTTTCAAGTGGGAGGAGATATGTGCTCAAGGCAGGGACAGGTTGCCAACAAATCAAATTGAAATGTGGCTGCAATTGGTTGAGAAAATGAGAGGAAGCAAGTACTAGGTATATATTTATATATTTTGTGAGTAAGTAATTAAGAATGTATATATCTTGTAAGTAAGTAAATAGGAATATATACATACAATTCTTGTAAGTAAGTAAGTGAGTTTTATTTATATTTCTCCTAAACCCTTATGTCTGCTGATCAAGCTAAAAGTTTGTGTAATTTGAAACCCTACAAAAACGATCCTGAACCGTTTTGTTTTTACTATAGTTTCTTTTTGTATATGTATATTTTCCTTTGAGGTAAAGGCCACACATTGAGCTCTTAAAGATTGTTTTCCTGGAAACTGTCAAGCTTGCATCCTATAGATTCCCGCGCAAATCACACACAAACAAACACAATCTCCAAGCTTGGCTGATAGCAAACTTTGTTTGAATTTTAAGATGAATCATAGATAGAAATCATCTATAGAATTATGAATTATTAATTATTAAATCACTTACACTGCATGGTGAAGGCGGTGGATGGCATGCTCTGCTGTATGATGGTATCCTCTTGGCCGAAACGTGAAGACGACGGCGCCAAACAGGACAACATTTGGAATGCTTGTATTTTTGTATATTTCTAGATTGTTTTATTATTGTTTTCTTTTTTCTACTTTCGAATTTTGGGGTTCTTTTTTTTTGTTTTTTTTTTAAGGACTTATAAATTCTTGCGTTGAAGAAAAGCACACGTTTTGGGCGCCATTTGAATACAAGGGCCTCTTTTTATTTTGGGGTTTATCTATTGTCGTTTTGCAACATTGAAACACAATTTATTATTATTATTACTATTAATTTTTTCATTGGTTTATTATTTTTTTTTTTTTTGGTTTTGTAGCACACTTGAGATTTGAATTCGATGCCGAGTTATATATTTATTATTTTTTTCTGCGTGATTTTACTTTTAACTACTGCTCGAGAGCGACGCGTGTGCTGCCGTCGCGATGTACAATTTTCAACTGAATTTCCCAACTGATTCCCAAGTTCTGACTTTTCCCAGCATCTGAGGTTTCCGCTGCTTTCACCGCTGTCGCCGTCGCTGTCGTTGTCCGTTCTCGTGTTCGTGTGACAGAGAGAAAGAGAGTGGCAGCGTCACAGTGAGAGAGAGCTCTAGAGCCAATGTGTGAGTGTGTTTTTTTTTCCATTCTTTGTTTTTGTGAGGGTGTATGTGTGTGTGCGCCTTAGCCACCACCAGCATAATATAGCGGTGTAACGGTTTTACCGTTGCTCGATCCATGTGTCTCTCTGTGTGTGTGTGTGTGTGCGTGCTGCCGAGGTGATACGAGTGGGGTGGTTGGTGGTGGTAGTGCATGTCCCTCTCCCAATTGGGAGAGCCACTGCTCTGCTCTGTTAGCAGTCCTCTGCTATCCATATACCGTAAGCATTGAGGGGTAAATATCGTAAATATAACGTAAGGGTGACTTTTGCGTTTCACGTAAACAACATATGGCTGCGTAGATTATTTATTATGGATTTTCAGGGGATTTAAATGCATATTTTTATTGACCAAGTGACTTAGGAACTTGTTTTCAGCCATCTCCAGTTGAAGGGGGTGTAAAAATTAATTAATTTTATTATTTGGAATATGAAATTTCATAGCAATCGAATATTTATATGAGAGTTTATTATTAAAGTAAATAGGTTCTTTTATTGTTGTCTGAAATGATTTTACTTCGAATTTAATTAACTTTTTTTGACTTGAAAGTTTGTTTTTTAAATTTAGTGGTTGAAACTAAATGTTTTAATTCTTGAACTCTTTAGTTTATACATGGATAATAATAATACAAATATGTGAATATTTGTTGATTTTTTATGGAATTTAACTTACTTTAAATGCTAGAAATAAGAACTGCGAAAAGACACCAGTGCGTATGAGTAATGAGATTTTATTACTCATACGCACTGTTGCACTATTTAATTTGAAAATTCTGTTAAGAGTTTTCGGACTCAAGAATTAGATATAATTTGTATAGAAATGATACAAAGATTTTTATGTTCGAATACAAGCTGGCTAACATGTCGTATGAGTAATTTTTATATGATTATTGAAAATTGAAAATTAAATATTTTATTAAAAAAAAAGAACTTTTCATAGTTGAGTTTTTATGTATTTTCTTATAAAAAATAAACCTTAAAAATAATTAATATTAAATTAAAATTTAATAAAGGCAGATAATAGTATATTTAGGCCTTTTTTGATGTATTTAGTTATGCTACTTCATAGGAAATAATAATTATTTTGTTTTACGATTTATTTAAACTAAATAACTATATACATATGTACAATTTTGGTACTTTATTTATAATAATAGTTAATATTTAAGTTTAGTTTTAATGAATTAATCTTCCTGGTAAAAACCCCCGTTGCGTGGGTTGAGTGATTGCGATTAATAAGCAATTTGAGAAAGCTCTTCGGAACGGATTTCTTCTGGGAATTTTCGCGGTGCCAGATAAAGGGAACTTTTTGCTTTCAGGGGAATCCCTTTCTTAACCCTTTACTGCTCGCATATTGCTGCGTTAACGGACAAAACTCATTTGCACTTGCGATTGCAAAATATATTCACTGCCTCGGGGGATTTCCAAGTAAAAAATATCGAAATTGTTCCAAGATTGCCACACACATCAATGACATCGTTTTGGGCAATGGACGGCCGGACGAGTTCTTCAGAATGTCCATCAATGGACACGTCTAAAAAAAAAGATAGAAGAGCGCATCCAAAAGAATTTCCAGCGAAGAGAGAAGAGAATGAGAGGGAGTGGTTCTTATATGATTCTTTCGCTCCATCAACAAGTTGTGCGGTCTCCTTTAGATGTATCTTTTTGTGGTTACTTTTTGGTGCTCAAAAGAGAGGGTAAAAATTTTCTCAAAAAATCATGAGAGCACGTAAAAAATTATTTTAATAATAATAAATAAATTGGTAAACAGGAATATTGTTTTCTTTTTATTTATTTTTTCAAGTGAGCTAATAATAAAATTATTATTTTAATGAATTAATTAAAATCTTAGTAAAAAACGGATTCTGATAAATATAGTTATTTCCTAACTTCTGATACAGTTTTATAACCAAGCCTATGGCTAACACTTTACAATATAAATTGTTTTATATAAGTATTTAAAATTCTATACAAATATTTACATAAAAACATATTATTTTTCACACAATTTAAATTAAAAAGTATCATTTAACCTTAAATATAAGTATGTTATTTTATTATTTAAACATTCACATACTCAAAACTACTCTTTGAAAAAGCGCAAAGCAGAACTCAACAACAATAATAATAAACAATTTGTACATTAATTTTTAATGCGGTTAACATGTGTTCCCCCCCTCTGACTCACACACACACTCACACCCGCTGGAACACTCACCGTTTGCGTGTGTGTTTGTGTAAGTGTAAAATAGGTGGAGCTTCATAATTTTCTCACTTGACGTGGCGGCGTGTTCGATGGACGCCTCGATGTGAGAGCAAGCGAGTGGGGAGAGTGCATGAGTGTGTGGTGAGCGAACGAGAGAGGGATACAAAAGTGAGGGAGAGGCCGCCGTTTTTTGTTGTTGCTTTTTTGCCTTTGTTTTTGCCGTCGCATTCATTTTGTATGTTAATTAGTTGCCTGTTGTGCGAGTGTGTGTGTGTGAGCACACTGTCCGCATGGGTGTGTGTGTGTGTGTGTGTGTGTGTGTGAGGCGTGGGTGTTTAATGAGCGGCAATAAACGACAAACGAAAAACGAGGTGCGGTCTCTTCGGTTAAGGTGCACCAGATTGGTTGTCCGCCTCAATTTGCACCTGTTGCGCGCACACGATTGGTGGAGAGTTCCACCTGGGTGAGAGAGATAGAAAGAAGGGGTAGGGGGTAGGAGGTTGTGTAAAAATAACAAATAATAATAATAACAAATGTATATTCAGCTAGAAATGTTATTAATGGGAGACTTTTATATACACTTTTGTACATATATTTATTTTTATGGTTAAAAATGTACTAAATAAATGTTGGTTTCAACTTTAAAAACTAAGAAAAGCTTATTTCTAAACAAATAGTAAAGAAACTTGAAATGTTAAGAAAAAATCATTTTAAGAGTCAAATTTGGGTAAACTTGTAAAAAAAAATGGAAAAAAAAGGATTGACTTAAAAATATTCACAACTCAGGCATTGAACTAATTTAAATGAAAAAATAATACACTATTAATTTTTTAAAATTTCCAACTAACTAGCTTTGAAGTCTGAATAGGCTACTAAAATTAGTATTTATTAATAAAGACTATAAACCAACCTAAAATAATTATTTTTTCGGACTACCTTTCTTTAAAAATCTTTATTTCATAGTTTTCATACTGTTTTGCTCTTTTTTAGTAAACTGAAAACTAAATCTTATTGCTATAATGCTTTTTCTTGTACTTAAATTATTTATATATCAAAATCCAAATATTAATAGGAATTTATCAAATAGATTTAACCCGCAAAAATAATTTTCTAAGGGCTGACTATTAATCCTTCCTGCATTTCCAAAGATCTTAATCATCAAGCAAGTTATTATCCTCAAGGAAAACTATTCAGATTTTGATATTGGAATTGTGTAATTTCCCCCCGCACTTCCTGTTTTCCCCGTGGGAATGCCCTCATTAACTGAATAATTGACACATATCCCAAGTATTGCAATACGAAAGTACCTTTAATTCTCAATTCCCGCATTCGCTGGCAAAAGGACTTCTTCCCAGGCTCAGGCAGCACACACCCACAGTAGGTTCTTTAATTTAAATTGAATCGATTTCTATTTCTTACTTCGATTTTTCCTTCACCACCATCACTGCTGGTACCCACATAAAATACATAAAATATATATAAATACTGTTAGCTAAGTACTTTTGACTGAGAAATCAATTAATTTCACTTTACAATCACCGAAAGTCGAACTAATGGTGGGAAAATCCTTTTCCAAGGGGGGAGGGTTATAGATCTTCGATCCTTAGATCTAGTAGGGTCTCCCCAGATGGTATTGAATTGCATGCATGTTTCTCGTTTTTCCACAATTTTTAATTAGCAGTAAACTTTGCGCGGCGGCGGCCCCGAAATACAAAAAGGAAAAGCGAAACCGAACCCGAACTCGAATCCGAAACCAATTCGATTTGAAACCGAACCAAAAGTAATGACAGCATAAATACAGCGAGTGGAAGTTGTTGTTGTGGTGGTTTTCTATATATTTTTCTATATATGCCGTAAAACATTGGACTCTCCTCTAGAGAATCTCAAGTGTTTTCCCTGTTCTGCGGCCGCCGTCGCCTCATTTCGTTTAACACTTTATGTGACAGTTAAGTGCGGGGGGAAAATGTCAAAAATTCCTCCTCATCTCACCCAGAAATGCATGTACAGCGGTCTAAGCGTTTTTCCCCCTTGTACCCCTTTCTGGAAAATGGGGGGAAAAATGCACAAAGTCAAGTGCTGGCTCAGCTTAGTGTGGGAAGATTTTTCCTACCCACAAAAAAAAAAGTGTTTTAAAGTGCGGTTTCTGGTTGAATGTTCTTAGCAGCCAATCAATGCTTAAAATGTGTTTTTAGCTG